AGACAAAGTTCACAGTGTCAAAATGAACAAAGGACAATAACTCCAAAAGTAGGCAAGACAGAGTTACAGTTCTTGTGCATTGCAAACCTACTTAATGAGATCTATCTACCTACAAAGTTTCATGTTGATACCTTTTAAAGTTTAAGAGTTATGTCCTGGACAAAGTTCAAAGTGTGAAAATAAACAAAGGGGGATAATTAAAACATTAGGCAAGGCAGAGTTACGGCTCTTGTGCACTGCACACCTACTCAATGAGATCTTTCTACCTACAAAGTTTCATGTTGATACCTCTTATACTTTTAGAGTTATGTCCCGGACAAAGTTCAAAGTGTAAAAATAAACAAAGGGGAATAATTCAAAACTTAGGCAAGGCAGAGTTACAGTTCTTGTGAACTGCACACCTACTCAATGAGATCTATCTACCTACAAAGTTTCATGTTGATACCTCTTATACTTTTAGAGTTATGTCCCGAACAAAGTTCAAAGTGTAAAAATAAACAAAGGAGGATAATTCAAAAATTAGGCAAGGCAGAGTTACGGTTCTTGTTCACTGTACAAAGTTTCATGTTGATACCTATGATAATTTTAGGGTTATATCCGGGACAAAGTTCAAAGTGTAAAATAAACAAAGGGGGATAATTCAAAATTTAGGCAAGGCAGAGTTACGGTTCTTGTGCACTGCACACCTACTCAATGAGATCTATCTACCTACAAAGTTTCATGTTGATGCCTCTTATACTTTTAGAGTTATGTCCCGGACAAAGTTCAAAGTGTAAAAATAAACAAAGGGGAATAATTCAAAAATTAGGCAAGGCAGAGTTACGGCTCTTGTTCACTGCACACCTACTCAATGAGATCTATCTACCTGCAAAGTTTCATGTTAATACCTCTTATACTTTTATAATTATGTCCCGGACAAAGTTCAAAGTGTAAAAATAAACAAAGGGGGATAATTCAAAAAATAGGCAAGGCAGAGTTACGGTTCTTGTGCACTGCACACCTACTCAATGAGATCTATCTACCTACAAAGTTTCATGTTGATACCTCTTGTTGTTTCAAAGTTATGTCCCGGACAAGAAAAGGGGACGGACGGACGGACGGACGGACGGACGGACGGAAGTTCTCACAGGACAGTAATTATGTGGCTACTCTATTGTTCTCTCTATTGTTCTTTTTAGCCACGCAAAAGAAAATAGCCACATAAAAGCATTACGGAATGAATGACATCAAAGAGAAAGAACAGTTACCTATTGTCCCTCTAGCCACATAATTACTCTCCTGTGAGTGCGGACGGACGGACGGATGGACGGACGGACAAGGCGGCGACTATATGCTCCCCCGAAATTTTTCGGGGAGCATAAAACATTATTAAAATTTAAGTGACTGTACATATGTCTTTGCCTAAAAATAAAATAAAAAACGATCTGTTAATAATCATTAACTATGAGTATGTTTACCCTTTCAAGAGACCTCGAGAGTTTACAAATATCCATGTCTAATTATTAAAAGTATTAAAATATTACTAACCTTAAAATCAGGCTTAAAAATACACCGATTAGTACAATTTCTCAATAATATAATGTAAGACCCTCAGTTTGTTGGATAAAATGTTTAACAATTAACATTAACATTATAAGAGACAGTTCTTAGGAATATAACCAGTTAGTTCTACTTTTAAGAATATTGAAACAGGATTTTGTAACAATTCAATAAACTTTAACATACTTGGGCGTGTATAATAATATCTAGGAATGCTTTGTTTCCTAATGTTATATAAGCTGAGCAAATTAATACAAAATGAAATTCACCTTCAATATCATTACATTGGCATAGTTGGCATTTCCTATCATTTCTATCAATATTTCTATGTCTTCCAGTTTCAATAAAAAGTTGATGAGACGACAAACGTAATTTAGCAAGAGTATATCTTGAAATTGGACATTTATCTTTGTTAAATATTCTGATAATTCAAAAATAGGTTTTATTTCTTTGAATTATAAAAGTGAAGATCTGGATGAGATATCCTGTCTCCAGTTATTAACATATATCCTGGAGTCGTGTACGAAAAAGGACTAAACTTATTTATATCTACTGAAGAAGGAAACAACCAAACATCATTAAAACTAGCATTTTGTAATAAATCTCTTACTTTTGAAGCCCAATTGACAACATTATTATCTTCAGCATCCTGTCTTAATTTACTTATGGTACTTGATAAAATACAATTATTGTTTTTTTCATCATGTAACTTTAAACGATACTTAACAATCCTTATTTCTCTACCTATATATATAAAGAGAATCTACCATTCACCATAAACAGCAGAACTTGTAGTAGACATTTTAACATTCAATAACCATTTCATGAATTTTCTATGTACTCTTTCAATATTTTCTGCTTTAATAAAACCCCAACTTCATTCGAATAATTCAATATAGATGCTACATAAGAATCAAAAAGATTTAGCATAATATTTTCAGGCACTTCTAAATCTCTCGTTATGGCAAAAAGGGACCCCATTGCTTTTAAAGCTTTGTCTGCTTATGTTTTAGTTGCATTCATAAAAATAAAAGATCCACCGCTGGAAAAAACAATACCTAAATAATTAAAACTTGAAACAATTTCTAATATTTCCCCATCATAATACAGTTGTTCATCTCTATTTATTCTCCCCTTTTTTTGAAAATATCAACCTTTGTTTTTCTCAACATTCACTTTTAATTTCCACTTCAGACAATAATCTTTTTAATTATTTAATGATTGTTGTAGCCCGTCTGCCGTCTCTAAAAAAAGTACGGCGTCGTCAGCAAATAGTAATAGGTAGATAGATAACTGATCTAATGTTAAACATGAATTACTGTCATTTTGTAAAAACACCTCTATATCATTTACGAATAGTGAGTACAAAATGGGCGAAATTATCTCCCCTTGTATTAGACCGACATCACAACTGAAGAAATCTGACAATGTATCAATATGTCAAACACATAATTTAACCTCATTATACAAAGATCTAATAACATTAAACATTCTTCCATTTACACCATTCTTTATTAATTTGACCCAAAGGGCATTTCTATATATTGAATCAAAACATTTCATTAAGTCTACGAAACAATATAATTTCTTTTTTTTTGTTTAAGCTCCCTTTCAATAAAAGAATGTAAGAGAAAAATAGCATCAACTGTACTGTAATTAGATTTAAAACCAAACTGTGCATCAGTGAGAATATCATTTACAAGTATATTTTCAAACGTTCATTTATTATTACAGTAAATAATTTAGCAAAACAACTTATCAAAGTAATACCTCTGTAATTTGTAGGTAAACTTGAATCGCCCTTTTTAAAAACAGGTATTATCATGCCGCTTGACCATGATTTAGGAAAACATTGTTTATCTAAAATATAGTTAAATAAAATTTCCAAAGGTTTATCTAAAATATCGATTCCCTCTTTGAAGTATTCGTACATAATATGATCGAACGAACAAGCTTTATTAGTCCCCAAAAGTTTAATTGCATTTCTTATTTCAGTAACAGTAAACGGTGCATCTAACTCAAATGTAGAATTTATGTTATCACAATTATCATAGTTATTTAAAAAAGTTTCTATTTCAACATCTTCTATTGAAAACTCTGATGTAAGGTTCTTAAAATGTTAAAAAAATTCTTCCATTTCAATACTTTCATCTAAACAATTTGCCTTTTTCTTACTAAATAATCTTTTAGTTTTTTATTCCTCATTTCTTTTAAAGTTGCTGCTTGTTTTCTATTAAAATTCTTATTTACTTTTCTACAATGGTACTAATAATCTTTCGTTTGCAATATAACATTTCTTTTTTTTCAGCAGTTTTGTTAGCATTGAATTGCGTTACTGAATTTTTATAAGCATTATATTTTTGTTTACAACTTTCATCAAACCATTTATTTATTATTATTACTATCGCAGAAAAACGTGTTATATGAAATCGAACGACATGTTTCAAAAATAAATTTTTCCTTTATCAGTCAGGAATTTAGTAAATATATCTACCATTTCGTTAGGATCATGGTTATTTTGTTTGCATTCATATAATTTTTGACAAAGTAGTAGTATTATGTTAAACTTACTAAAGGAACTTATAAATTGTAAAAAATAAAAATAAACTTATTGAACTTGCTTTTTTGTAAACTTTTATAACAAAGTATCAATGACTCATTCTCGAAAATTAGATTATATATTATAATATAGATGGTTTTTTTTGTTTTTTTTTGTTCTTGTTTTTTATGCAGAGAATCGTTAATTATGTTTTACATTGTTCGACAAGTGTTTGTATGCACTTGTGCCATGAACCTTTTATTATGTTTTTGTTTATCTTTTATATAGTATTTGTAGTTTTAATCACATGCATGTTATATTCCATGATTAAATAAACTCAACTATATGTTCTTGTTTTCTCTTCCAAAAAGAATGACCATTTCATTGTGTATAAAACAGGTTGTGCAATAAAGCTATGTGTAACACTAATACAAAGAAAACATGAAATGTATATTCCATCCATTTTTGGTGAAATTTTATAAAATATCCTGATAGAATATAACTGAATTAACTTGTGTTTTAGTCTTCAATGTCTGTTGCTAGCTAAAAAGCTCAGTAGTGAGAGACCTTGAATTTAAAAGTTTGAGTCCAAGTAAATGTTTGTTCTTTCGGTGAAAACGGATTACATTTTTTGTTAATACAATAGATCTATATCTAATGGTTTACGTACTATGCCGCTGTTAAAATATTCATGTGACAAATGAATCATGTTTAACAGCATATATATACAATAATATGTAACGTTTTAGAAATGTTCATTTATAAAAGGAGACAAATTGAAGGCGGCCGGATAGCTGTCGTAAGAAGCTCAGGACAATATTCCAAGAGTTCCAACTCCAAGTAAAGGTCAGTGTGCTTCTTTCTCACCCTGTGACACATGGAACAAAATCTCTTATAACTAAACCATTTTTATTTGACTTACCTTTTAAAGTGTTTAGTTCATCCATATTAGAGAAAAATAAAAGATCAGCATTCTTCTGCAGACAGTGAGTTCTAGCTTCTTCCCACTTCTTATTTTCCCTTACAACTTGGTAACAGAAATTACTGGAGTAAATCCAGTCAGGACCGCAAAGCGGTGACGTCTGTGCTATAATTTATACAAAGAGAAAATATCACAATTACAAGAGAATATATGTAATGTATGTGCCAAGTTTTGAAATTTAACCATTCAATATTATAATATATGTCAACACAAAATGAGGTAACAGCAGAATATGCATATGACCGGTTTAGACATATGACTTCGGTAATAAAAGTTTAAGTCATTGTCAAATTGTTTTTTTTTTAGTTTTTTATTAATATGAATACCATCAATGCTTGAATAAATACGATACGTTAAATTGGAAACTCACTGTTTATAACACTACTGTACGTGACACACTATTTTTCTTTTGTTTATTTTGTAGGATATTTATACTTTATATAAATTTAATCTTTTTGCGTTTTTTAGTTCTTTCATTTTATTGTAAATTAACAGAAGACTTCCAATATCCCCTGTCGAACTGGATAAATGATATAAAAAGGAACACGGTGAAATTTAAATGCAAATAACAGAGCACTAAGCATGAAAAAAAGTTCGAAGCTGAAATCTATAAGACTTTTTGTTATTCCTAAGTGGGATAAAAAGTATTCATCAAAAACTTGAAAAACAAGAACTGACGTTGTGCACAAATATAAACCTCTTAAGTAGGGCCCAGTAGAAGACCGTGGCTTCAATCCTGAATCAAAGGCATGGTTACTATAAAAATAGTGTAATAATAATATAGAAACATAAACAAATACTTTCTCATTTTCTAAGTGAGCCATATTTTTTTTTTGTAATTAACATTTTATTTCCCATATTGTACAAAACATGTAACAGAAATATTTTTTGGTCAATATAATGTATTGGCAATCAATATACAGTCAAAACTGTGTCCAAACCACCTAACTAATTATCAATTTCATGACAAAAGTCACCCTAACTAACACTACAGATAGAGGATTCTCTTGATAAAGACCTCTTCTTTTCTATATAGGAAATGTTATATTTCTCCTCCGTGCGACCCTGGTCACAGGTTTGACTGTAATCATGCATCAAAGTACATAGTCAATACAAATTCAATAATCTCAATTAAAGCCAAATTAATCAGTCAGTACACATACAATAGTTTTAAATGGAGCCATATTAATCAGTACAAATACACTAGGTTCAGATGAAGTCAGATTAATCAGTACAAATACACTAGTTTCAAAATGAAGCTATATTAATCAGTATAAAAACAAATATTCTCAAATGAAGCCATATTAATCAGTACAAGTATAATAGTCTCCTATGAAAACTATAATAATTAGTTCAAATACACAAGTTTCAAGTGAAGCCCTATTAATCAGTTCAAAAAACAAACAGTCTCGAAAGAAGCAATATTAATCAGTACCAATATAATAGTTTCACCCGAAACTATATTAATCAGTATCAGTACCACATTAATCAGTACGAATACAATACTTTCAATTGAAGCCACATTAATCAGTACAAATATAATAATTTTAAATGAAGCAATATTAATCAGTACAAATACAGTAGTTTCGGATGAAGCCATATTAATCAGTACAAATACAACTGTTTTGAATGAGACTATATTAATCAGTTCGAATACAATAGTTTCAAATGAAGCCGTATCAATCAGCACAAATACAGTAGTTTCATATGAAACCATATTAATCAGTACAAATACATTGATTTCAATTGAACCTGTATTAACCATATCATTTGTACATAACTATATTAAATCAATATTGCTTTATTCTGATGCAGTAGAGAGAATTCTATATCAATCGAGGATTTTCATATTGTACAGTGATTTTGAGAAGAGGAAAGGAAAAAGGCCATTCCTTCCTCCCCCTTTAATAATATTTAGAGTTTTACTCTATAGCTTAAAGTAATGTAGTAATGAATGCTTAAATTTAAATACCATATTTAAATTTTGTACCTATGGGATAAATATGCTTTTTAAAGAAAAAGGATATAAAAAAGTGAGCCATATTAATTTCAAAGCATCCATGAATAAATCATGAAGATATGTACGTTGACACAGAGATGACATTTGTGTTTTTTATTTATCTCGTGCGCACGAGATATTATTTCGTGGCCACGAGATACTAACTCGTGCTCAAGATATAAATAAGTGGTGCGCACGAATTACTATGTCGTGACCACGAGCTTCTAAGTATTGGGATCGAGTTAATTAAGTAGTACGCAAGAGTTCCATGTCCTGGCCACAGGTTACTAAGTCGTGCGCACGAGATACTTCTTCGTGGTCACGACTAACGAAGTCTTTCGCCCGAGATAATTAAGTAGAGCGCACGATACACTATATCCTTGCCACGAGTTACTTAGTCGTGCGCACGAGATAAAAAGGTCTTGGGAACGAGTTAAAGTCTTGGGAACGAGTTACTATTCTAAGTCGTACGCTTGAGATAATTTACCAATAAGCTTACACTATATATGTGATTTCTTAAGTTAACCAGAAATATGTCATGGGACAATGTTCCCCCTACTTAACCTGCCTGTCACAGTGCCATGTATTTAAGTTATTGATTGGACAATGATTTCACATTTATATTTGTGACCCTTGCCCTGAAATTATTAGTGTGCATCTTCTGATTATGTGCAATGTACATACTAGGTTATATACACTTATTTGTTCTCAAGTTATTCATCAGACAAGGATTTTACACGAAGAGTCATGAGCACCCTGACCTATGACCTAAAACATCAATACAGGCCATCTACTGACCATAGGCAATGTACCTACCAAATAAAATAAACCGTGGCTTATTCCCTCTCAATTTACCGTATGAACAAGATTAACGTACAGCGGATGGTCCCCATAAAGGGCCATAACTAAGTCAAAATTAAAGTCTGATCTATGGACCTTGGATAGTGATCTCTAAGACATGTACTAAGTTTAAAGTGAATGCCTTCAGTAGTTTCAAAGATTTATGTTGCACGAAAAAATTAAACCAGGAAATTTCTAAGTTTAAAAAGTTCCACTTAGTTCCAGGTAATTGAGTTCCAGGTAATTGAATCTCGTTCCAACGACTTAGTAACTAGTGGCCACGACATAGTATCTCGTGCTCAAGACTTAGTAACTAGTGGCCACGACATAGTATCTCGTGCTCAAGACTTAGTAACTAGTGGCCACGACATAGTATCTCGTGCTCAAGACTTAGTAACTAGTGGCCACGACATAGTATCTCGTGCTCAAGACTTAGTAACTAGTGGCCACGACATAGTATCTCGTGCTCAAGACATATTAACCTGTGGCCACGACATAGTATCCCGTGCTCAAGACATATTAACCTGTGGCCACGATATAGTATCTCGTGCGCACCATTTAATTATCTCGTGCCCATGACTAAGTAACTCATGGCCACGACATATTTTCTCGAGCGCACGAGTTAGAAACTCGTGGCCACGACATAGTATCTCGTGCGCATGACTTAACTATCTCGTACTAAGTAACTCGTGCTCATGAGATAATCACTTGTGGCCATGACATAGATTTTCGTGCACACCACTTAATTATCTCGTGTGCACGACTAAGTTACTCGTGGGTACGACATAGCATCTCGAGCGCACGACTTAATCATTTCGTTCCCACGACTTAGTAACTCGTAGCTGCGACATATTTTCTTGCGCGCACAACTAAATTAACTTATTTCCCACGACTAATTAACTCGTGGCCCCAACATAGTATCTCGTGCGCTCAACTTAATCATCTCGTTCCCAAGACTTAGTAACTCGTGGCCGAAACATAGTATATCGTGCGCACCACTTTATTATGTCATCATCATCTTTGTGCCACCGTAGATATGCCCATCAATGCATTAATTTATTCTGATATACAAGTATAACCTTCACCTTGTAAACTGTCGGACATTTTTAAAATGTGGCACAGAAGCATGACTAGTTATTTCAAAATTCATTCATGGATGACTGAATGTGTAACTGGGCATAACAATCGATGCACTTCATTGAGAATATACATACACCTTAGAAACACTAGCTTGACCTTGATATTTATACTTCAACATTACAAAATACATCAGTGAATGACAAAAAGACATGGACTGGACATGACTATCAATGCATATCATGACTTTTGATATTCAAGTATTAACTAAAACCTTTTGTCTGCTGAGCTTAATTTTGTTTATTACATATCTTAATAACAGCATATTTATGCATAATTATTTCTAAGTCAATGGATGAATGACAAAGCTACGCACAGAAGAAGACAATATATTCGCAATCATTACGTTTGACATTTAAAGTGGAGATCTCACCCCTATACGAAAATCACCATCATCATTTAATTGTATCAAATTACTTAAAAGTCCATCATCGAATGACAGAATTGTTGATTGGACACAACCATCAATGCACTTTAATGACAAATTTCAAAACATCACTTTGTAATACAAATGTAACCTTGACCTTTGAGCTAGAAATCCGATTTTTTCACGGGACACAATTATTTATATATTTATGCGTAATTATATTTCACACCGACCAAGGAATGACAGAATTCCTAACCGGAAACAATATATTATTGTCCTTTTAAAAAGTTCGTATCATGACTTTGATCTGCAAGTGTGCCCTTGACCTTTCAGGAAGGGACCCGATTCTCGCGGACGTCACGTCGTCATTATGTTCAAAACATTTATGAAACACTTGTGCATGAAAATCACTTTTCCGCAACTAGCACGTAAACAAAATTCTGATAATGCTAAGATTTCTATCCAAATCAAACTATTTTATGATAAATACATTTCTGCAAAATTTGGATACCAAATTTGCCATATATTTTCTAATTATGTTTACGAAATGTCCGGGTGACCAATGCACACTTTTTATGGCAACAGAGTATATTTTGGTTATATTTTATATATCCATCATTATGTATTATTTGATGAATTAGTGTCATATGTTTCTAGTCACATTATATTTTATATAATAATGTTTCTTATTTTATAACACACAGTTATGTTTAAGTTACATTTGTAGGTTACAATTACATTGTTAACAAGTCTTGCGATGTGTATTGTAAGGCAATATAAAATTATATTGATAGAGAAAAAACACAAAGAACACTTACTCGATACTTTCATTGGTAAGTTACCAACCAGTATGGACCAAACATAAATCATATAAACGTGGTAACACAGTAATGTCTTCATGATGCTGAAACTGAAAGAAACAAAACATTATTGAAGTTGCTACCACGCAAAAATTATTCTCACTTTAAAGGTTAGAGGTATATAACAAGAGGTGACTGTAGGACAGCGCGCTCGACTATTCTCAGTGCTCGATATTATAACAAGATGCCAAATAATGTAGAAGAGAAATCACAGCTATCTTGGATCTTGGATAATGATGATAAAAAGTTGTAAGTTCGATTTGTTTAGAACTAGAATTAGCTTGGAAAAACATATGGATTGGTATCGGTTTGTTGATGTGTTCCGCCATTCTGATGTCACAAGTCACGTGGGATGGACCAAAGTAAGAAATCCTTACACAATTGTCCATTTTGTCCAAAGTAATTGCCGAAAGAACTGTTTGTGACAATTCCCACATTTCTTTCCTTTTAAAAAAAAACGTGAAGTACAATAATTATAATTTTTTTCAAGAAACAAATAGTTTCTAGTTATACTACTGAAAAATACAGTGCCAAACAGCTGTTTCAATGTGAAAAATTTGAACGCTCATGGGAAATGTTTGAAAATTTAGTAAGTTAGTGAGACTATGTAATTATTGATATTTTTAAGTAGTAGACACCCCTTGTTTAATTATTAATATTATGAAGACACTCTACTTTCCTGACAGACCTTCCATCCATCAGTGACCTTTACTAATATTTAGAGAATATTAATAACTTGGAAGTAAATCCTCCAAGTTTACACCAACAACCTTTTCTTTTTTACTTTTTAGAGAAGACTTATATAGGTAAATGAAAACATTTTCCTCTGAATTAGATGAATTCTAACCTCAAACTTGTTTTTGCCTTTTCCATATACTTGTTGCTTTATTAAATTCGATAACTTACATGAATATGCAACATTATTGTGTAGTAATATCTTAAGTATTTTGTTTTAAAATGAGGTTAATTTTACTTTTTTTGTATATATAATTCGAATATAAAGGAAAATGTAAATTCAGCAATAGACTACTTTAAAAATTCACAAAAACCCCATTTTAGCTACTAATTATTTTAGCATATCAATATTGTATCTATTTAGTTAAAGTGACATAATGCCCATCCAAATAGTGAATAAACAGTGAAAGTTGAAATACATTTTTGCCATGATTCGTCTCAGTTTTTCAATATATTCCATAACTCTTATGGCTCAAGGAACATTTTGGAAATATCTGTAGAGGGGAAACTTATACTTAATAAAAGTATGGGGCAGTCTTTATGTTTTAGGCAGATATATATTTTATCCAAAACTTTTTCTTATATCAACTGTTGTCAAGCACCATTATTATTGTCAATATTGAAATTTATAGTCAATAAAACTCAACTTGACATTGAAAAAAAAAGAGCTTAATGTCACTTAAATGTTTTAAATATAATATGCCATGAATTGATAATGTAAGGTACAGTAGGGGATGGCTCTCCGACCCCACTGCACCAATTACGGGGAAAATAAATGGGCAACCTATGTTGCTGGAAAATTAAAAAAAAAATAATTATAAATTTCCATCGAACCCATTAAAGGCCCATTATTCCTCAAAAATGTTTTCTTTTTATTTCCAAAAGCTTTTCAGTTTTGGTGTCCTAATGTATAAACGTAGGTTCTAAAAAAAGTGACTAATTGGCCGATCACCTAAACCATCTTTTGCTTCTGTTGCTTTTAGATATTAATGTTATATTGATTTAGTATTGTGTATGGCTTTTGTTATATGACACATAAATTCATATACAGCACTTCTTTCTTTAGGTCACGATATGTATGTAACCTTTTCTAATATCATAACTTATGCATTATAAAATTCATGTCTGTCCTTTATAAAGAAAGAGAAACTTGTTTGTTTCTGAATTAAAGCAAACGCAAGTAATAACTTCAATCGCGTCAAAACACAATTCAAGCAACATCTGTCTCTCACAACTCTGGTATTGCGGTCTTGAAAAATAACTGTAAAAGTCCCATATTGCAAAATAAAAAAGAAAACAAAAAAACTTGATATCCAATTGTCCAATTGGTTAGTTTCATTAAGCGTGAAATAATGTGTTTCCCCAAATTTTAGTTAGAAACTTAGATATTTTCATATGAAAATTGACCTACAAATGACAGAATGACAATCAATAGCAGAAAATGGTTTTATGTTAAAGCTAAAATAATCACCTGCCTAGAGTGCAAGTAGGGTCATGAATTTATTTATTTGAGATTTAACAAAATGCGTGAAAAGTGTGAATTGTTTTTACAGTCCTGTATAAGGATATTTTGTTTTTCTAACAGAGGCACAGCACAGAGTGAATGCAATCGACGGTAGGTGGGAATGTAAATAAACATGTGTATGCTTATCTCATCATAGATAGAGTTATTATTAAGCTGTTACTTCTTGTTGAAAAATGGCACAATTTGCTTTTTTCGTAATGCCTTGGACGAAATTTATGTTTTTTTTTGTTTATTTATCGTACATAATCTATAAACATGTCGCTTTATAAGGTATTGTGTATTTTTCATTATCTATTTCATATATCTACATGCTTTTTGAAACTAAATATTATCATCACCATTTTATGTTCATTTTTCAACTAAGTTTTTCTGTACTGTCCAAGAATGATAACTTGCGTTTACATTTGTTTAGCCAAGCGAAAGATAGGTAAGGCAGACTGAAGCCTCATATTTTTTCAAATGCATGAGAGTAGGATATTTGAGCCGCGTCACGACAAAACCAACATAATGAGTTTGCGACCAGCCAAGACCAGCTTTCGCATTCGTACAGTCTGATCAGGATCCATTCTGTTCGCTTACCAACTCTTTTACAAAAACAGAAACAGACAGCGAAAATCATGGATCCTGATCAGACTGCTTGGATGCGCAGGCTGATCTGGATCAATGCTGGTCGCAAACTCATTATGTTGGTTTTGTTGTGACGCGGCTCTTTTATGCACTTATGTAAAATTTGATAGAAAAAGCATATTAAGAGATGTTAAATAAAATAATGAAAAAAATATATGTATTGATCCATATATTTAAATTACTAATATTTCAAAATCACTTGATATGTAGTTGTTTTCTTTATAATGATGGAAACGAAAAGAAACAGAACATATAAATAGAAAAAGACAAGACATATTCTATGATCATACACAAGACAAAGTAAATAAACAGGGAGAAAAACA